GTTATCAGAACCATTAGTCAAAGGCTGGCATTATAAATTAAGAACATTTTGTCAAGTCCATCTTTTTGGCATATAGCACCCAGAACAAACTCACTTTACATTACACACCATAGCACAATTTTAAAGACAGTCTCCACCATTCACAAAATCCATGCACATGCACAGAAAAACCATTTGAAGCATCACCTTTAGATAGCAGATTAACAGCCCAAACTGCGCCATAAGATTGCATCTTAAAGTTCCCTTTGATCAGTTACTGAGCTCGGCTCCTGATGTTAAATCTTCATTTTTAGTAAGCAGATTAGAAAGGAAGAGATTAATTAAGTGAGAGAATGAAATGCAGAAAAGAGTGAATGCCAGTGAAACAGAACAGAAGCAAGTTTAGAATTCTAAAAACATAATGCATTTAAATTCCTGCCTGGTTTCATAGAAACAACGAACATCTGAGAATCTAGATGAAAAGAAAAACAGGAAAATGGTTTAAACCAGAGCACACTTCATTTTTCTTAAGAATGTCTGGGTGATGATATTCTTTCCTAAAATTATGAAAATTAGTATGAAGAGAAGGTAAAAACTAATGGAGAGGTTCTTTTTTGTTTTTAATATTTTATTTATTTATTTATTTATTTGACAGAGAGACACAGAGAGGGAACACAAGCAGGGGGAGTGGGAGAGGGAGAAGCAGGCTTCCCGCTGAGCGGGGAGCCCGAGGCGGGGCTCGATCCCAGGACCCTGGGATCATAACCTGAGCTGAAGGCAGCCGCTTAACTGACTGAGCCACCCAGAAGCCCCTAATGGAGAGGTTCTAAAACTTCATTCTTGGTGATTACAGATTTCTCCTAGATATTTCTGTTATATATTTCATTTGCATTTAACTTAAAAAAAAATCTTTTTACATGTCTAACTCTCCCATCAGCCAACAAGTTTCTTAAGGATATTCAATCAACAAGTATTTACTGAACACCTACTATGTCTCAGGTACCATGTCAGGCACAAAAAAAATAAAGAGTAATGACAAATGAAACAGTGCCGGAGCTACACCTTACTAATCTTTGTATCTCCAGTGAGTAGGATGGATGGGGGAACTCAAATGTTGACTAAAATATAATTCAACATTTATTTTAACAATCAGAGCTGAATTTTTACATCTCAACATAACATAAGACTTGAATGGTAGAAAATCTGTAGTACCAATTTTGAACTTCTCTAGTAAGTGGTCCAGAAATACCAATTTGTCTTCAAACTATGTGTTTGACATTGTAAGTACACACTGAAGAGAGGCAAGTTCAGACAGAAGAATACCTTGTCTGAGAATAGTTAAACTGGGACACCAGAGAGTTTACTATTCTGAGACTTCCCATTTTAAGTCTGCTTCCTTTTAAACTCTTTTTAATTAGTTTAATAATTAGAATGACAACTTAACGAAGTTACCGTCAAAGATAATGACACCTGTTCACAATTTTAAAGTTTAATCTTGGTAGTCTGTTTAAATTCTGGTAGTTCTTTAAAAAAAATTAGCTTAAGTTAAAATTCTCTTCTAATACAGGGTTCTGTTAAGTAAAGCTATTTATTTCCATGTCTGTTTCGTTTGCTGACCTGGCTTCAATGAACACTACCGAACAAAAAAAATCTCAAAGAACAAATCTACTCAAGACATTTTCTATATAGCAATACATCTAACAACAGCAACAACAAAAAGGTTCATTCTTTTCCTGTCAAAGTCAAGCAGTGTAGCTATATAGTTAAAAGCTGAGACTCTGCCTGGTTTTCAATCTCAGCTCTTCCATTTCTTTGTGCCTCTGTTTCCCCATATGTAAAATGGTGATAAGAAAAGAGTCTATCTCATATTAAGGTTACTGTTAGGAATAAATTTAAAGTGCTCAGAATAATAAGAGCCTAAATTAACATATAGGCCCACAAATTTCATCCAAACCCTTGGATGTGAGACATTTTGATCAGTACCACACAATCAATAAATACATGATTATTTCTGTACTGAAACAAATTAACATTTACACTAAGTGGGAAAAAGATTATAAATAGCTTCAGTTCATGTTACATTTTATGGCCTAATTAATGAGTTGTGGCTCATCATGGGGAAAAAAAAAAACCCAGACCTAAATCCTTGGTTTTCAGAGTTTTTCAGATTTCTAGTGGCAGGATAAGCGATTGTGGTGGACCTGGGTTTTTATTACTACCAGAATTAATACTAGCCTTATATGATCCTGCATCTGCCTTTGAGAAGCTCATGTTATGGCTATTTAAACAATAAGCCTAACTAAAACCCGGGTTAGCCGATAAAATTAGAAAGGTCAAGACACTGGCAGGAATAATAGTAGACAGAGCTGAGGACAAGGATACCATAGAGGCCAAAAAGTCTATGTTACAAAGAAGAGATAGACGCAAGGAAGGCAATTAATATACAACATCTTTAAATTGGAATATCACTCTTCTCTCCAGGGAACAACTGTTCTCTTATAGGAACCCCCTGATTCCATCTGCTAAGAAGCACCTTCTCTGGGCCAACTGAGAAAGGGTTCTTTGAGGTGAGAGGCTGCAAGCTGCCTCAGGACCATACTCTACCTTCTCTCTCACCAGTGTCCCAGAAAATCCTGCCTATGCTTGGCTGGGATATACAAAGTGAAATAGTAATACTTAACTAATAATTAATCCTTCTGTAGTTCCATTTCCCACTTTCTAAGATATTGGACCATCTCAGGATTCACTGCTTTTCCTGTTTATCAACCCCTGACTCAGAGCTGATTTTGCTCTATGTTCTAGGGAGGACTTCTTCTGCCTTGCTCTCTTCCTAATATGTTATCTCAGGGAAATTCATTTGATTTTTCTCCTCTGCACTTTCAAAAGGGTACATAGAACACAGGAGAAAAGCACAAGTTTGCAAAATATAGTTAAAAGTTTAGATTTAAAAAAAACCTGTGCATTTCTAACTTGTTTGCTTAAGGTAATCTGCTAAGCCCTGATGGACAAGTCATATTTAAATTTATTTTTTAGTTTTTAAAGATTTTATTTATTTATTTGACAGAGAGAGACACAGCGAGAGAGGGAACACAAGCAGGGGGAGTGGGAGAAGGAGAAGCAGGCTTCCTGCCGAGCAGGGTGCCTGATGCAGGGCTGGATCCCAGGACCCTGGAATCATGACCTGAGCTGAAGGCAGACACTTAAGGACTGAGCCACCCAGGCGCCCCAAGTCATATTTAAATTTAAAGTCATTATTTAAATATGCACTTTTAGAGAGTCAACCAGGTCTAAACAGGCCAACAGATTTTTCTTAGAATAGAAAGCCAATGGACAACACTAGGAAGAATACTGTCAAATTTTAACTTGTTATGCTCCAAATAAACACCAAAGTTGGCCAATAAGCAACTTAACTCTATTTTCTCTTGTAGAGAGATGGCACAGAGAATGCTGTCACATGAAAACACCTATATAAAAGTATGACAATCTAACAAAAGTTCCTCCATTCCTAACTCCTTGAGAAGTAAAAATGCTGAGAATATGTAAACCTTTGTATCCCACTCTTGGTTTACCATACCAGCTGAGACAACTAGATGAGACACTAATGGTTATGTAACTCTTCTCAAATGAATGCTCTCAGCAGTAAGGATGGTCATTCAATTTCCAGATGTTGTCATTTCAACTAAGAGGAAAGTTCTAAGTTTTTGTTCTGTTAATAACAGAAGGGAAGATAATGGTTAACTGCCTCAGCCCAAACCTTCTCGTAGTCAAAATACATAAAATATTTGTCAACATGGGGCGCCTGGGTGGCTCTGTTGTAAAGCATCTGCCTTCAGCTCAGGTCATGATCCCAGGCTCCTGGGATGGAGCCCCGCATCAGGCTCCCTGCTCAGCGGGAAGCCTGCTTCTCCCTCTCCCACTCCCCCTGCTTGTGTTCCCTTTCTCACTGTGTCTCTCTCTATCAAATAAATAAATAAAATATTTAAAAAAAAATTTGTCAACAACATGGAGTTTGGTTTACCTAAGAGTACGTAGGGAATTTAAATATTCATAATGGAGTCACCAAAAAGAAATGTATCTCTTTCTGTCAATCATAATTTTATACACTATACACAAAAAGTTTGAAGACTTTTCATCTCCTAGTTTAGTAGAAACTTCAAATTTTCAGAGACTTCTTTGATTTTCCCTTGTTTGCGTTTGATAATCAGTTGCTTTAGAATAAATTTCCTTGACTTATACTTTTTTCTCTAATCTCAATAATAAGGCCTCACTTCACAGGCCTAGATTACAAAAGGTTCCTAACTAGTACAGTTATGTACTCTACTGCAATCCATCTACCCCTTAGCCCGCTGACTTATGTCTTATTTTTCACTTCTCATCTATATGAATCACACAGTTAAGTCAAGCTCCTCTATAATTTGTTTACATTAGGAAATGCCCCCTTAGTTCTTCCACATCCATCCAAATCCTTCTAATCACTGAGTCCAATGCAAGTGCTCTCTCTCCTGTAATATTTTTCCAAACCAAACTTTATCAGTTCTGTTCCCTTACCCTCAGTTGACATATGATCTAGCACTAGATTTATACATTCTATTTTTTTGCCATTCTTCCTCATATATCCAACCACATGGTAGGTCTTTCGAAGATAGGATCCAAGTCCTTTACTCCCTCGGCCATTCTTCATGTGCCTACCACAGAATATGTATTTTTTTAATATTCTTTGTTTGAAAGGAAAAGGCACTCATTCCATCCTGCTCTGTATTATCCAGATGTATATTTCCTATATTATATTTCATGTATTATTAAAAAATGAAATTGGGACTTGATCTAAGGACTGACCAAATTGAAGCCATGGCTTTTGGTGAACATGCCCATTTACATGAAAAACTTGATCAGCCGGAAGGAAAAACAACTTAAATTTTTCTAACAAAGGTCCTTATTTAGGCCCAGTTACACTTCTGACCTTCCTGGAGAGTGGAATGTTCTCGCTTTAGTTTTAAAAAGGTCTTGATTTCTCAACTCACCTATTACATGGGCAGACGCAGAGGCCACAGCACTTGTTGAGTTCCGTTAAAGTCTTCTCTGCCTCTCTCATGTCTTTATTTATCTGGTCCATGCCTTCTTCTATGCGGTCTAGTTGTTCTAAGAATAAGTTGTGGAAGTGACATTTTGTGTTATATTCACAGTGCCAACGAGAAGATACTATTATTATGGAACAGCAAACTTTAACTCTGAATCCACCAGTAATCCACCCCAGTGACTGTATCAGTACCAGAAAGTACTACATACTGTCCAACATGAAAACAATCTTTCACAAACTGATCCTGAGGCACCTGGCTTCTTATTGTGGGAAGATTTGTTCTAAAGAGATCTGTATAACAGGAGCATGTGAGGGCTTGTTTAGAGATCACCCTTGCAACCAAATTAAGTGTACTTTGACCAGACTGTATCCCCAGCATTTCTCTCTCCCAAGTAAGTTCAAAACTTGAAGGCTATCATCATAAGTCTAATCAAATCTAGGCCGGATTGCTCAGGGGCAATGCAAATGGAATGTTTCCAAGCTCACCTGAATGTAAACCTGTTTAAGGACTTAAGCTCCATTTCTGAAAATGATGCTAGAATATCATAGTATCTAATGTACATATGACAAATACACACAGTAAGTCCTGCTGCCTGACAAATACTTGGTATATAATTGGGCATTGTTGCTCCCACCTCAAATAGGCAATGAACATGATATAATTCAAATCAGAAAAAAGAAGTAAACGTATCACTCTTATCTTACATAGGGAAGGCACTCCCAAGGCTTAATTTTAGACATGGCTGATTTGGAAGGGCTTTCTGTTGTCATGAAGTCAAATCAAGAGTTTCTGCCAATGACTGCAACTCACCCCCTTGTTCATCCAGCATAGTGATAGTCTTGATTCCTGCATCCTGAGACTAAAAGAGAAAAAAGCTGATAGCACTACAAAACAAAACAAAAGCAACAGAAACAAAGCCTATAAGGCCTAATAGCAAGAGAGAATCATTTAGAAACCTAAGTTCTCAGAGGATGAGAGTTACAGAGAAAACTAATATCCCAAAGCAACAAACTTTAACATATTAAATACCCCCCATATAATTAAGTCACAAATTCATGGTGACTTGATCTTCCCCATCATATTCTAATAGTGTCAGTGGGAAAAACAAAAAAGGCCCATCAGTGCATGGTTTGACAAGTTAAGCAAATGCTGGTTTCAAATAATAAAGCTCACTGATAACATATACTTCTGACTCTTAACACAAATTCCAGCTTGTGCTATTCAAGATCCCTCTTATACAATTTTTGTACTTAATGATTAAATACTGTCTTACCTCAAGGGCTAAACCCAGGATTCTCCTTGTACTTTCCAGAGACTAGGGAAAAACACAGGCTTTTAGTATTCTAAAATATGTAGTCAAAAAAAAAAAAATCTGATCACATAGTCATGATGCTACTCTATTTTTAATTGCCAGCCCAGCCATCCCTCCCCTCTTTAAAACAAAAACAAAAAAAGAAAGTTGATCACTGTAATTTTAGTTATTTTCTTCCTACCAGCTGCTCCTTAAGAGAAAATGTGGAGGGTAAAGTTAATGGTATTTATAAAAGTTTAACGTAAGCAGAAAGCTAGGTATGTTACACAGATGTTTCCAATTCCTCAAATCTAGAGTATCTTTGTTGTAACTGTGTTTATTAAACAATGACTTAAAAAAATCATACAAGCTGCTTTCACTTATTTAGTTTTTGGTGAGCTGAAAAACTAAGGGGCCGGCAATGGCACTCTGAGGCAAATGCATTCTTAGACATAAAGGGACAGGGAGGAGGCCAAAATGGATGTCTAAGAAGGTCTTCTCATCCTTCCACTGTGAAAACTCAAAGAGAATTACTTATTCGAAGTAAAATGTTTACCTCATCAGTAACCTGCTGGGCTCTCAGCTGAATTTCTTCTGATGATAGATTATCCATGATGAATGAAAACTTTTGATAAGCACCGAAAGTGAAACGTGGATATTCTGTAAGAATATGGGCACAAAAGGGTTTGAACAAAGTGTGGATTTATGGAATTCAGGATATTTATCTGGAAAACAGGATAAAAAAGCCTATCTATATCGTTAGCTAGCTATCACAGCTGAAGAAATTAAGGCCGGGAAAGGATAAATGGATGGTTAAATGCTAGTTAGTACCAGAGGTGAACCTGAAACTCAGGTTTCAGGACTTCTAATGAAGTGCCGTTTCAGAGAGAAAGTGGTCTCTCTACTTTGAGGAGCACGAACTAGACGACAAGCTTTAAGAGATTATTAAAATGAATTTTTGGTTGTACAATGTTATTCATACATTATTTGAATATAGAAAAGCAATAAGGTGAAGAGGTCTAAGTCAGGTAGTATTCCATTAATAAAGTAACAAAATTCAAAGTCGTGTGCCTGAACAACACAGGAAACATTCCAGACATGTGCCAGTTGTCCAGGCTACTCATTGGAGAAAATGAAATATTTTCATTCTTAACAAGAAAAGGATAATGTTGACACAGAACTCAGAAAAAACCTGGAATTTTTCATAACAGATTTTCCCTTTCCAATTATTTTGTATTTTAGTGAAATTTTAGTGGAGTCCCTAAGAAACTGTATAATTATTCTCCTATACATAGTAACTTAGTAACTCATAACTCAGAGAAGATTCATAGACATTCAAACTAAAACACAACACATTTAGAAAGTGTTATTCAGTACTACTGTTGTGTATTCCTCTTTGAAAAGTCATATGAAGTAATAAGTACTGTGTGATACTCTAGGTTGCTTTCTTTTCATTACATTTGCTAGCTTTGTATTACTTTTTGTATTACATTATTTATTTATTTTTTATTTTATTTTATTTTTTTAAAGATTTTATTTATTTATTTAACAGAGATACAGTGAGAGAGTGAACACAAGCAGGGGGAGTGGGAGAGGGAGAAGCAGGCCTCCCACCGAGCAGGGAGCCCCATACGGGACTCGATCCCAGTACCCTGGGATCATGAACTGAGCCGAAGTTAGCCGCTTGACAACTGAGCCACCCAGGTGCCCCTGTATTACATTTTTTAAAAACTAATTTTACCGAGTTCTTCGTCAATGACACAGATAAAGTCTGGTTTACATTCTGAATTTACCCTCAGGGAACACCTGGCAATGACTGTCACGATTTTGAGGAGGATGGGTAGTGTTATTGGCATCTAGTGGGTAGGGGCCAGGGATGCTGCTAAATATACTATAATTCTTCCCAGGACAGCCCTTCACAACAAAGGATTATCTGACTCCAAATGTCAAAATGCTGAGGTTGAGAAACCCTGTCATGGAGTAAACTCACTGACCAGCAGGGAACCTGGTTAACCAGGAATATACTAGACTAAACGCTTGGAAGGCAGAGATTTTGTTCTATCTTTTTATCTCTAACACTTAATAGGATCTGACAGTTGGTACTCCAGCAAAATGTGTGCTGAATGAACAAACAAATAAGTAGAAAAATAAGGGTATTCTCAAAATATTTAAGTGGATCTTAGAAACAAAGCTACATGTACCAGCAGCAGAAAGCCTGCAAATATTCACTAGAAACACAAAGCAAAAATTGCCAATACATATGTATAATCTGGAATGGCCTGCTGGTCACACACAAATCTTTTTAGTCACATCCATAGCTAACCATCACTTTTAGTAGAATCATCGATAAAGCAAAAAGCAACAATATTAGATTCTCAGTACCAAAAGGCATTGCATTTAGAGGTCTGTTTTATTAACTCTATTGTCATGGCTGTTTTAGGTTTAATTAAAATTTTGAACATTGATTAAAGTTATTAATGCTCATGAAGAAAATTATTAATTACTATTATTAATAAAAAGTATTACTACAAAAAGTTGCAAATTTAATTTAATATCTTGCTTGCCATTGTAGGACTCTGGCTCTGGCAAAAGGTTCATACACAAAGATATAAAATCAAGATATAAAGGTCTTTCTTGAATTAAGAAATGATCATTCGGGGCACCTGGGTGGCTCAGCTGTTTAGCGTCTGCCTTCGGCTCAGGTCTGGGATCAAGCCCCACATCGGGCTCCCTGCTCAGCAGGGAAGCCTGCTTCTCCCTCTCCCACTCCCCCTGCTTGTGTTCCCTCTCTCGCTGTCTCTCTCTCTGTGTCAAAAAATAAATAAAAATCTTAAAAAAAAAAAAAAGAACTGATCATTCATTAGATAGAAGCATAAATAGAACCACATGCTTTATTCCTTTGCTAATCGTTTGAGCCATTAGATTTATCATAGATCTGTTCATGCTACAGTTTCTCTTGTTAATATTTCATAGTTACAATTATGAAAAATTGTTTTTGTCACCTCTCACCTCCAGATTTCTGTATACCTTTTCTTTCTGTAATACCCCAGGTAACTTTATACTTCTCTATTACTTTCAGAGCCCCAACAACATACTTATAAAAGCCTGCCCTTCCCAGCATGCTCCAGTTGTCTATACCTCCTCAATGCCCAACAGAGCAGAAAGTGGGGAGAAAAGTAATACATGCTAATCAAGTAATGCCTGAAAGTGTCAGGTTTTCCAATATGGTATCCTGTGGGTAGAAGACATTTTGGGCATAAGGATGCCCAGATCTCTCAAATTGTATAATTTTATAATTCTACTCCTGGACCTACTTCCTGCCAGGTACAAGTCAGTATTTGCTATCTTCCCATCCTAGTGAAAATGAGCAAAAACTTCTCATAGATTCAAAGAAAGGCTTGAATATAAAACTGACCTCTGTCAAACAAGAAGACTCCAAGAGTCCTACCTTCTAATGATGAGAAGAAAGGAAGGAAGGAAAGAAGGAAGGAAGGAAGGAAAAGAAAGAAAGAAAGAAAGAAAGAAAGAAAGAAAGAAAAGGAAGAAAGAAAGAAAGAAAGGAAGAGAAAGAAAGAAAGAAAAAGAAAAGGCAGAAAGAAAGGAAGAGAAAGAAAGAAAGAAAAAGAAAAGGCAGATACAGCTGGGAGGTGGATATGAAGAATCAGTCCTGACATGGCCATGGGCTCATTTTGAGGGACACACCCACTGGTGAACTCAAAGTGCTGCCTAGTACTTCCTTTTTTCTCTCTTGAGCAGATGGCACAAGACAAGAAACTGACTTATGTAAAGTTCTCACATGTCTGACAAGCTGACATCAGGACACAGCTGCCTAAGACCTCTACTCTGGATTCTTGAGGGTGTTGAACACATGGTAACAGTAAATGGGAGTAAGAGAGACAAAGCAGAATTGTACGGGGGAAGGACAAAGCTAACAATACTCCCCAGGCTCTTATTAGCCTTTACAAAACTGCTCAGAAGTGTTGGGCAGGGTGCAACCTAGAATTAGCTAGCTTTACTCATATTTATTATTTTCTCCAGAAGTTTTTCTTATAAAGTCAGGGAAAGGCTATCCAGAATGTTGTAGTAAAGAGAATTAGAGGTGGGACAGGAGAAGGAAAACAAAATATTATTTGACACAAATATCCCATTAACTTACTGTTCTTAGATATAACCTAATAGATTAAATATCTGTGTCATTCTTTCAATGCTCCCAGAACCTAATATACCATGTTAATTGTGAGAACAGTATATGCTCCCTTTGAGAGGTAACTGCAAGATTTTTCCCAATGCTTTTACAACATATCTTCCCTACTATGGTTCATTTGGGCTTTCTAGAAGATTCCAAGTTTACCTTAATTTTTTGTTATAAACTTTGGGGGGAGTGGGGAAGAAGAAATATTCACTGAGTACCTACTATGTGTCATATACCCTACTAAGTACTTATATACATCATTATCTTTATTATACCAGTTTATAGATGGGGGAACTAAGGGTTCCAGTAAGTAATTTGCCCAAGGTGACTGAGTCAGTAAAGAGCAGATTTATTACTCAAGTTTGGATATTCTGAAACCAAAGATAGCTCATGGTTTAGTAACTAGTCTTAACTGTTGGATGCATCTTCCCTTAACAAATATCAGATGATGAGAACTGCTGAATATCAGAAAACAGACTAAGCACCCTACCTGACAGCTCATTTCAAAATTTAAGATGCCTTTTTTTTTTTAAGATTTATTTATTTATTTGGGGGAGGAGAGGGAGAGGGAGAGAGAATCTCAAGCAGACTCCCCACTGAGCGTGGAGCCTGATGTGGGGCTCAATCTCACAACCCTGAGATCATGACCAGAGCCAAAATCAAGAGTCAAATGCTTATGGGGTACCTGGGTGGCTCAGTTGTTAAGCGTCTGCCTTCAGCTCAGGTCATGATCCCAGAGTCCTGGGATTGAGCCCCACATCAGGCTTCCTGCTCTGCGGGAAGCCTGCTTCTCCCTCTCCCACTCCCCCTGATTGTGTTCCCTCTCTCGCTGTGTCTCTGTCAAATAAATAAAATCTTTTTTTTTAAAAAAAAAAGTCAGATGCTTAAGCGACTGAGCCACCCAGGTGCCCCTGAGATGTCTTTTTTCTTTTTAAAGAATTTTTTTTTAAGATTTATTTATTTGTCAGAGAGAGAGAGAAAGCACAAGCAGGGGGAGTAGCAGGCTCCCCATTGAGCAAGGAGCCTAATGTGGGACTCCATCCCAGGACTCTGGGATCATGACCTGAGCCAAAGGCAGATGCTTAACAAACTCAGCCACCCAGGTGTCCCCCTAAGATGCCTTCCATAATAAAACCATAAAAACTCTTCAACAGATTCAAAGACAGTTAAATTAAAGGAAGAACTGGGGCACCTGGCTGGCTCAGTTAGTAGAGCAATGGACTCTATATCTCAGGGTTGTGAGTTCAAGTCCCACATTGGGTGTAGAGATTACTTAAAAATAAAATCTTAAAAAAATAAAGGAAGAACTACACAGACAAGAGTAATCATGGTTTTCAGCTATTTTAAAATAATTTAGATTCTGAAATTATTTAGGGGCAGCTGGCTTGCTCAGCCGGTACAGCATGTGACTATTGATCTTAGGGTTGTGAGTTCAAATCCCATGTTAGGTATAGAGATTACTTAAATA